GCAGGGCTGAGCAGCAGAGCGAGCAATTGGCAGACATTATCCACCAACACTGTAACAGGTTCCCACACTACTGTCCCCCAAACAGCTACTGCAGTTCTTTCTAAAGGGTAAAGAGCAACCCACTGGGACAGGCCTCCAATGAAATCCTGCTCACAGGCCTCATCTATATCCAGCCTCCCCTCCCCTTCTTCCCTTTTAAGGTCATAGTCTGACTAGGAACTCTTGTCTGTACTAACCCTTCAGCAGGCAGGCTTCTGGGCCTTTTCTCAAGCTTGTCCCTTCTGCTGCTCCCCAACTGAGAGAACCCCCACATCTTCTGCTCAGCCTCTGGATGGGAACCTGTCCTCTAGGAAGCCATCTCTGTCCCTGTCCCATCCTTCTGGGCAGAAACTCCTCTCACACCAGACCTTTGTTCCCACTGTCCCTGCTGCCTAGACCGCCCTCCCAGGCTTCCGTTCTCTGCCTCACTCCTTAACAAGAGCCTCCTTCAAACTTTCCTTTCAGCTCTGGAACTTTGTGTGAATGACACAAGCTGGCCCTTACCCCCCCCCCCCCCCCCCACCACAGTTCTGCTCTATCAGTGGTTGAGAAGTGGAAAACAGGTGGAACTCACAGATGCTCCCCTGGGAGCAGTCCAACTGTACACTTATCTCTCTGGGCCAAAGAGATCAGACACAGAGCCATCAGGAAACCTACCGCTGAAAACTGAGCCCGAGGCACCACCCCAACACTGCGCCTGAACTTCTGCCCTTGTGCAGACTGAAGAAACACTCACACCTCTCAAGTGAAACATTCCTTGTGTAACTGACACAGCCCATCAGAACACGGATGTCTTTCTCTGCGGCAAGTACAAACTGCGGGCACAAACATTCTGCAAGTTCCTTTGCTAAACATTATCTGACCTCAACTAACAAGGGATGGCTTCATCTTCTCCCTCCCCTTCATTTCCTTCTGTCCTCCACCCAGCTCTGACAGTCTCTCCCGGAATCCAGGCCCTTCTCCTGTTATGCCCAGATCGTGGGGATGCCCAAAAGACCATCACATGGAGACTGAATCCCCTATGTAAAAGCAAAGAGCCTTTATTCAAGCTCGAGCTTGGACTCTCCATCTGTCTGACACAGTGGTGAGAGCAGAGAGCCCTAAACCCAGGTGGGGTAGGGTTTTTATCATAGCAGAAGTTGGGATGAGGGGATTTCCAGGGTTCAGGACCCTGACTGGCTGACATTTGTCAAGGGGTATAGGTGTGTGCAGGGAATGTTTGGAATGTCAGGTATTTCTCCTGAGATGCTGGCCCTCCCTGGGTGGGGTCAGCTTATGACTTTCCCTGGGGACTGGGTGGCACCTGCTAGTAAGCCTGTCATGGCAGCTGTGTGGTCAAGCTGTTTTGTGCCCCCACATCTCTCAGCCTTTCCCCAGCTTTCTGGCAAGCTCTTCATCCTTCTCCAGTCCTTGCTTCTGAGGATTCTGATTCTGTGCCCCACCCCTAGCACAAAGCTCTTCCTCACAACCACCTGCCTGGTCCCTTTCCCAATGTGCCTCTCTGATTGTTTCTTCAGCACTCTTGCTGGCTCCTTGTACTGTTCTCTCCCCCTACCCCTCCTAGATCCCAAGGCATGGGGCCCTCTCCCCTGCACAGCCTTTCTCCAGTCTCCACATCGGCCTCTTACACTCTCTGAGTCTGCTTCCTCCTAGCTAGTGAGCCTTTCAGAGCTCTGAGCCCACACCAGACTCAGTTCTGAGCTCATTACACATAGTTCATACTAACAAAAAAACTTCTGCAGTTAGTTTTTAACCAATGAGCCCTTTCACGAAAATAACTTCCCTGAGATAAAGAAGCCTCCGAATCACATGCCAAGCTTGGGCTCTGCTGCTTCTAAGTTAATAAGGCTGAAGAGGGCCAACTTGCATGAACTTTGTGAGAGGTGCCTGCCACCTCCTGGGTGTGTGTTCTGACCCCAAACTTGAAAACCACCCAGTAGGCCTCTATCCTACTCTGGTTCTCTTGGGTGTCTCATCCTCTCATCGCCATTTCCGTGGCCAAACCAGTGTCACCGTCCGTTCATGCCCTCCCCTGGGGGGGAGGGGGTGGGGTGGGTCTCCATCTCTCAGGCCAGGCCTCCTGGCCATCAGTCATTCTTAGCCAGAGCCACACTCACACCTCATACTCCGTCTCATCATGCCCAGGGTCGCCCCAGCCCGGGTCCTCTCGGTCTGATGTCCTTACCCGAGCAGCCTGGGCCGCCGCACAGACCCATGGGCACCAGCCTGGGAAAGGCGCGCCCACCTTCAGCGGGTGTCGTTGGCCTCAGGGCCCGGCCAGGGTCTTCAAGGCCGTAGAGGGGCTTCCAGAGTATAGAGGGCAAGCGAGCCCACCCTCCCCCGCCGCGGGCCCAGCATCGCCCGCCGCTTACCCGAAGAGGCCGGAGAAGAAGGACTGCGAGTTCTTCACCTTGCGCTCCGCCTCAGCCAGCAGCGCCACTGCCTCGGCCTGCTTCCCGGAGGTGTCCATGACGCCGCAGCGCTGCTCGGCTCGGGCCCGACACAGCCGGGCGACTACTTCCAGGCCCGGGACACCGCGCACTAGGCAGGGCTCCGCCCGCTGCGTTGACGTCCTCCGACCCTGCTGCGCCACGTGACCCGTGCGGACCAACCAGCGGGCTCGCGCTGCGAAGCGCGCCCCTCCAGCCACGCCTCCTCCGGCCACAGCACTCCGCCCCTTGACCCGCAACATAAGCACACGCCCGCCGACTGACGCCACTTGCTTCCTAAGAGCCCTGCAGCGCACTGCCACGTGATACCACACAAGCCAATCATGATCCCGCACTGCCAAGCACTCTCCCCCCCCCCACCCAAGCGCGACCTTTGACTCCCTCCAACCAATCAGCAGGCGTCATGGACTAGTTCCGCCTCACCTCTGCGGAACTGGGACACACTAGTCAGCTGACCAGTGACGCGACGCTCACGTGACGTCTCAAGGTTCACGCTCCGGGTTTGACAGATCCAGCAGTTTAGCTCCGCCTCCTGCTTCACCTCACTTCAGTCACTTGGGAAAAGCTTTGTGGTTTAAAAAAAAAGAAAGAAAGAAAAAGCAAAAAGAAACTTCGTACGCCCTCTGGCGATCATCTCTGGAATTGGCTTGGGAGTCCAGAAGGTCTCAATTTCTAGCTGGCGGGCTGATGAGATGGTTCAGCTGGTAAAGGCACTTGCTACCAAAGTTAAAGACTACAGTTTGATTCCTGGGACCCACAGGGTGGAACATGAGACCTGACTCCTGCAAGTTGTTCTCTAACCTATACACACGAGGTTGGGGCATACACAGAATGGCATGGGTATGTCAAAGGGGCACAGGAGCAGCTGGGGAGACAGCTCAGTGCCTGGGTGTGGATACCTCGACCCACGTAAAAAGCTGGGTATGTCAGCATGTATCTGTAACAGCAGCAGTGGGTGGGTGGGAGCCAGGCATATCCCTGGAGCTTGCTGACCAGCCAGTCTAGCTGAATCAATGAGCTCCAGGGTCAGTGAAAGACCTTGTCTCAAAAAAAGTAAGATAGAGAACAATCGAGAAAGACTTCTGACATCAACCTCTGGCCTACACACACACACACACACACACACACACACACACACACACGAGAGAGAGAGAGAGAGAGAGAGAGAGAGAGAGAGAGAGAGAGAGAGAGAGAGAGAGAACACAAAAAAACAGTTTTAAAAATTAGTGAAAACATCTAAAAGCATGGGCAGTCAGTTAATAGTACTGACAATGGTTCAGTATCTGTAGCAAATACACTATGCTATAGTAAGAAACTGGTATGTGGAAATTATTGGTACTATGCTAGTTTCCTGTAAACCTACAGTTATTCTAAAAGTCTCATCTAGAAGATCAGCCTCCAGGGCTCGGCCCACTATGATTCTAGTCCCAACAGTGTGGTGTGGCGCAGGAACCTGCATCTCTTCTTTACTGCACTTTACTGCTTAGCGAGCAGAGAACATTTGAGGAAAGTGCTATTCGAGTTGGGTGTTAGTGACAAGAAAGGGCAAAGGCAGCTTCTCCTGACCCTTCCCATTGACCTCTTGTCTGAATGTCCTTACGCTCACCACTGTATTCTGACCACAGAGCGGTGAGTCTGGATGGCCATAATCAATTCCAGTTCCACTTCCATTTGCTGCAAGGCATCATCTTTTTGGAGCAATGTGCTATGCAGCAATAGATGACTATATATCCTCAACCCATAAAGCCAGGCTTGCATTTCCACTCTTGGAGTTGAGTCACTCAGAGCAGAGCAGTGGAGTGCTCACTGCATAGCAATGCTCAGGTCACTGGGAACACCTACCAAAAAAGTGCATTTCCTCATTTACCAGCTACACATATTGGAAAAACATGTTCAAGCAGGAAATCAATTTGTAGATTACTAGGAAGGAAGAGGGGCAATTCTGGTTCCTGGGCTGCCCTGCCTACCCTCTCAAACAGCATCTCACCAGCTCCAAAATAAATTCCCTCCCTGCCTTTAATCTTTAGCTGAGATGTGGTCCCTTGCTGAAACCTTCTCTGTAGTGCTGGGATGGGGCCTTGAGACACAGGAGGTGAGGCAGGGCTCTTCTCTGTCCTCTTGCAAGTTGAGGTTAGAGCAGAGGTTCCTGTTCTTACATGGGCTGCAGCCAAGGTACCATTCTGCCTGCTGTCATTTCAGGTTGAGCAGCTGCATCCACATGTTCTTCTGGCTTCAGTCTAGCCACCCCTTCCATTATCATGGCCAGAGCATGCCTACCATCACCACCTTCTCACCTGTGTGCCCATTCACAACTGCTACAAGTCCTCTCCTAAAATGAAGCTCTATGAGGAAGGGGCTTTTTCTTCTGTGTATGTGTTCCCATCTACAGCCTGGGAACTGCTAGTGTATGCTGCTCAACAGAGCACAGCTACCTGTACCCACTTTCTCCCCTGTCTCTGCTCACCTCCTGGCCCCAGGTGTGGCCCTGAAGCTTTGGCAGAGCACACAGGCTAGAAAGTTGTAAAACAGTTGTTTAAGAACCCAATTTAATAAGATACAAGCAGACACATAAAAAACACACCTAACAATATACAGTCATTGCAAGACTAGGGATGGTGGGAATGCAGGGAGGCCCTGCCCAGAGGAGGGCCCAGCTCACTGGATCTCAGGTGTCCTCACTGATTCTCTCTAACCAATGTCAGTCCCATGCCTACAGCTCAGATCTAAAAGCTACCTAGACCAAACCTTCTGCTTCCCAGGGTCCCTTGCTCCAAGTGAATGGGACTGCAAATAAGCAACTATTAACCAGGAAAGAATGGAGCCTCTGGTCACCCACATGACTTCAGAGCTACCTGTGACAGCTTCTGCCTGTTCATGTCCAAATGCCAGCCAAGCTTGCTAGCAAAGCTGGGCATTTAGAGGACAGAGAGGGTAAGGGTGCCCCAAACACTTCTGAGAGACCCAGGGCACTGGCCTAGGGATGGATCCTCCCTCCTTGCAAACCAGCTTCCAGCAAGGAGTCACCACTGCAGGGGGCCCATGTCAGCCCCTAGCTCCTCCTCTTCCTCCTCCTCTTCCTCCTTCAGTGGGTAAGGCTTCACAGGCCACTTGACCCTGACAGGTTCCACGTGCTCCTGGAGGCGGTGGCGCTTCATGTGGGCATTCCGACTCTTGATCTTGTCGAACACTCTGTGGAGTCACGGGATGTGAGACAGAGGCAGAGGAGCTTGGGAGGTGAGGCAAACAAGAGGGTGGTAGTCCAGAGGGAAGGCTGGTACCTCTCACACTCTCTGCAAGGGAACACGCCTTGGCTCTCCACACTCCCTGGAGGCTCAGGGGTACGCTTGGGGGCTGCACTTGGGCTGGAATGAAGGATAGACTCCCTCCTGTAACTCTTGGTCTTTATCTTTAACTCAGGAGTTGGGCGGTGGGTGGGTCTCTCCCGAGGGCTGCAAGTGACCTGCAGAAGGGGTAAAGATGACTTAAGACACTAGTGTGGAAACATCCTCTGCAGGGAGACCTTCCCTTGGGAGCCTCTACCACCCTCTGGCTGGACCACAGATGCACCCAGGCCACTCCTTCATGCATCCTCTACCTTGTCTTCAGTCCTTTCTACCTCATCCAGCTCTCTCCTGCCCCTCTTCTCCAGCCCAGGAGCTCGGCCACAGTCAAACTTAACCATCTTTTTCCAGATGTAGTAGTATTCAACGCACTGTGCTACACTCTTAGTCTGGATCTGGTGGGAGAAGACATAGAAGCAGGCTGTGGGCAGTACCTGACATGTGAACTCCACCCTGGAAATCTCTTCCCTAACACCTCTGCCCATGGCTGGGCAAAGACAGGGATCTTGGTCCTTCTAGATGGTGAAGGATCCAAAATGAAGCCACATAGTAGCCACCAGCACTAAGTCCAGCATGCTTCTTCCCTGTAGGAAGACACATAAAGAGGAGGCTCACTGTGATGTTACAGCAGGCAATAGCCACACTTAGTGAGATTGTGACTAACACAGAATGCTCTTCCTCTGTGGTGAGCATACAGCCATCACAACTAAACAAAGCCTCAGAAACCCTCCAGGGAAAGTGACCACATGAGAAGGACACCTCTGAGTGCTATGGAGTTGAGAGTACTCAGGCCCAGCCACTTGCTCTTGTTAAAATATGACTCCTGGGCTGAATGTGGTGGTGATGTCTTTAATCCTCTGGAGTCCAGGCAGGCTGGACTACATAGTAAGTTCCAGGCCAGCCAGACTATGTACAGTGACCCTGTCTCAACAGACAAACATGGAGCCAGGTACAGTGAGTGATGTGGGACTGTAATCCCAGATCTCAGCAGGCTGAGCAGGACTGAAGAGTCTGAGGCCAGCCTGGGCTACACAATGATGCTTTATCTCAAGAAAGAAAGAACCTCTGGGTGGGGGAAGGGTTGAGGAACACTAACAAAACGGAGAGCTGGAGGTAGGACCTAGTGGTAGAGAGATGCTTACTATGAAAGAGGATGTGGATTCCCTTCCCAGCACAAGAAGACAGGGAGGAGGAGGAGGAAGGAAGGAAGAGAAAGCTGAGAAAGCTGAGCTGCTCAGAAGGAAACTCTCAAGAAATTAACTGGTCAGTGAATGCCAGAACATACTTTCTCTACATGAATCTGAAACTGCTTGTGTGTTGTTGAAAACTAGGAGTCAAGGCAGCATGTCTTCTGCTTAGGAAACAGTACCAAATTAAAAAGAAAAGGAAGCTCACTTCTGCTCCTGAATAAGATAAAGCAACAGGAGCAAATTCACCTTCCAGCCAAAAAACAGTGAAAGCAGCAATGCTGGGAAGGACAGTGAACTCTGAGAGCAGACTTTGTACATGACACTCACAACATCTTTATTTTATAATTGCCCAAACTGGGAACACTCAAATGTCCGTCAACTGATAAATAATTAGATACAACTGTGGTACTGCCATGCAGTAGACTATTATTTAGCAGCAGCAAGGATGAACTATTAATAAATTCAGTACAAAGGAACTTCAAAGTAAGCATGCTGAGTATAAGCAGCTAGATGAAGTGTGGAGCACATGCTGTCTGACTGCCCTAGTGACACAAAACGCCAGAAAGTGCAAACTTTCTTACAGATCAGGCTGACCAGGGACATGGGGAGGCACAGTGGCATGTGTAACAGCTGCCAGGAAAGGAGGAGGTGCTGGGCATCACAGAGAAGTTTGCTGTCTTGCCTGTGGTGACAGTCCCATGGGTGCACACATATGTAAAACGTACTCAGCCTTCTACCTTGTTTATGTGTAGTTTCATGTACACCATTTTTTTAAGAACAGAAGAGAGAACTGGGCAGTGGTGGCACACATCTTTAATCTCAGCCTTCAGGAGGCAGAAGCAGGCAGGTCTTTGTGAGTTCTAGGCCAGCCTGGTCTACACAGTGAGTTCCAGGACAGCTAGAACTACACAGAGAAACCCTGTCTCAAAAAACCAAAACCAAAACCAAAAAAAAAAAAAAAAAAAAAAAAACCCACCACCACCAAAAACAAACCCAGAAGAGAGCATTAGGTTGTATGTTCCTGTGTGTTTCCACACCTGCACATGTGATAAATCAGGACAGATAAAGGCAGCAAGTGCTGAGCTGGAGTGATCAGCACTTACTGACCAGAAGCAGGGCATCAGCAGGACATCTGAGGTAACAAGCTGCTTACAAGGTGCTAAGTGTGCTGTGGGCAGGTGAGGGGCAGTTGTGTGAGGCAGAGCTTGCTGCCCCAGCCCTCTGTCATCTTACCGTCTTGTGAATCAGGTAAAAGTCCTTCTTGTGGGCACAGAATGCCTTCTTGAAGAGCCTCTTCTCCATGGGGGTCCAGATGTCTGAACCTGCCAGGGAGCATAGCCAGGGAAGGGGAGGTTTTTCTCAAGGGACCACAGTCTGACTGACATGTGGACCACATGTTTTAGCACTGTCATTATGAGCATGGATAGTGTACCAATCTCAGACAGTCTTCCCAATCCCACAAAGCTGGAGTCTCACTATCCTCATGTTATATATGTGGGCCACTGGCTGGGGCCTTGGTGGCCAAGGGTGGGTGGGCCCAAGCTGCCTGGCTTTGCTGTGCTCAGCTGCACAACCTGAGTTCATATCCCTTGCCCCGGTCAGGAACGCTAATCTTGCTGGGACGAACTCTGAGGGAACGATGCAACAGGGCTGGTGGGGTCTAGTGAACTTAAGGCAGTGCCTGCAGAGTACCTCTGGAAAGAACAGGCCCCTTGATAAAGTCAGGCAAACGCCCTGAAAAGAAGGCCGAGGGGCAGAGGTGGAGGTGGAGTTTCCTAGGTCTCAGTGTCAAACAGCCCTTTCTCCAGTTACCTGTGTAGCGATAGTCAGCTAGCGGGTGAGTCCGGGGCTTCTGGGGTCCTCTGAGTAACAGAGTCTCCAAGGCAACCTGGAAGGACAGCAAATGTGGGCCACTCACGGGGCATGGGAAGTGGGAACTGCCTCCATTCTTCTTTTATTGAAAAAAACAAATGTCTCTAAAGTCATCTGGTTCAAGGCTACCTACAAGTGCTTGGTCCTTGGGCTGGTGGCCTATAACCTCACTGAGCACCCCTGTGAATGCCATCTTTGCCTTCAAAATATGACTTTTTCTATGAAGGACACAGTAGGTGGGTTTGTGAGGCACATACTCTTGCCCCTCCAGAGCCTGCTGCCTAGTAGAGTGCCATCCCACCTAGCACTACATTTTATTCTCTCTTCTGCACTCCTTGCTAGGGTGCTTTTACCTTTCAGCAGTGCTGGGGATGGAGCCTGGGCCTCACATATGAGTTACACTACTAGCCTTTGACTTTCTGAGACAGAGCCTCATACTGTAGCCCAGGCTGTTCCCAAACTTATTATCCTCCTGCTTTAGCCTTCCAAGTGCTGGAAGTACAGGTGTGAGTGACTGCATTCTTCAGCCAATACACTTATAAACAAAAACTGTCTCTCTTATAAGCCCTGTGAGGGTATGGACTACTCTAATTCTAGTTAAGAGCCAGACATGGACTTTCTAGGGTCTGGTACAAAATGAAAATGAGGATTTCCACTGGGTGGCACACACCTTTAATCCCAGCACTCTGAGTTCAAGACCAAACTGGTCTACAGAGCAAGTTCCAGGACAGCCAAGGCTACACAGAGAAACCTTGTCTTGAAAAACCATAAAAACAAAACAGGATTTCCACTCAGAAAGTCTGAAGAATCCCCAGATGAGGACAATGAAATATTAAATCAAAGACAGAGCCCTGACATGATTGACCTCCAGTGGGTGTTCAATATACATGTGCCAGGTACTGCCCCTCAGCTTGGCAGAAAGCATGGCCCAGGACTGAATCTCAGGTCTGGAACACTGGTCCTCTTGCACTGCCCCAGAATCCCTTCTCTTGGAGCAGTGGCTCTCAACCTTCCTAATGTTTTGACCCTTTAATACAGTTCCTCCTGTGGTGACCCTCAACCACAAAATTATTTTTGCCGCTACTTCATTTTGCTACTGTTATGAATTGTAATGTAAATATCGATGTTTTCTGGTGGTCTTAGGTGACTCCTGTGAAAGGGTTGTTTGAACCCTCACACAGGGGGTCTTGACCCAGAGGTTGAGAACCACTGTCCTGGAGACCTCACTGACTGACAACTCCTGTAGCTGAGCAGCTTTCACTCCCCCACGCTGCTAGACCAGCCTCAAAGGACTGAAAACATGGACCCTCACCTTCCGTCAGACAGGTAATCCAAGGCCCAGAATGCCCAGCCCCAGGAGTGCAGGATGCCGAGGGTCTCACCTGAACACTGCCCTGGGCTTCATGCAGGCAGTGGAGGGCAAGCTCTAGGTTGGTGCCCCCTCCTGGCATCACACTGGAGCATGCCACATTGCAGAGCTCTATCACTGTGGTCCCAGCAAAGCCCAAGAGCATTAGGAAGAAGAAATCGAGTCAGGCCATGCAAGGGAGGTAGCCTTCCCCTTAGCACAGGGGCTCCTGGTCAACTCCCCTTTCCTTATATCCCCATAGAGGGCAGGCTAAGTAAATGGAACAAGGAGGAACAACAGGAATTCAGGCCTGGTACTTGCACTGGCAAGTGAAAGGTGGGGCAGGGCAATGCAATGTGGGAGAGAGATGCTGGGCTCAGGGCACAATTCCTGGAGTTGGGTGGGGAAGGAGGGATCTTGGGATCTGACCCAAAGCCTCAGCCACCTCTGTCCTGGGTCTCTGGGTTGGTCATCACATCTCCCCATGGCTTCCAGACCAGAGAAGCTACATTCTCATCCACTCTGGCCAGCGGCCTCTCCTGCAGTTCTGGGATCTCCGCCTGAAATCTGCTTCCTACGTTGATGTGTCTGAAATGAGGCCACATACACACATGGGGATTCAAAGGTGACTAAGCCAGGAAACAGCAGAGAGGTACTATGTCCCCTGCTCACAGTCACAGTCTGCTCCATGGCAGCTTACTGCCATCTCTCAGACATGGTGGCTGCTCATTACCTTTATCACCCAACTGACACAGGCATTTCAGAACACTCTTCCTATCTTCTTTATTTCTGATTTCTGGCCTTGGGTGCCTCTCCTGGGGTCCAGGACAAGGAGCTACTTGATGACACTGGCCACCTGTGTCCAGCCACATCCCATAAATGCTCTAACCTCCTACACTATGCTGTCACCACTTCTGTCTAGAAGCCCAGGTCCATCCAAGAAATTCTGCCCCCACCCCAAGCTCATCTGTGTGAGTTCAGACAGAAGAAACACAATGGGAACTTTGACCTACTCCTGGAAAAGACCACAGCTTCTCCAGAGAGTATCTGCATCTGGCCTACCCTCCCTGGGAAGACAAGCCTGGAAAAGGAGACTTTGGAGCCCAAGCTGATGAAAGCCCCCTCACTAGAAGGACTGTGCACAAAGTGTCCCAACTCACGGTTCAATGCTGATTTTGGTGTCATCCTTCACCACACAGATGCCAAAGGAGCCGTCCACTTGGTCTAGAAAACACACAGGGAAGAGCCTCAACAAGACTGACCTGATAGGACCCTCAGGATCGTCTACCTGCCTTTGTGGACATAGAAGAAAACAAAGCTGTATGGCTTCGAGGAGGGGAAAGATTTCTGAAAAAAGCAGAGAAAGAAACTCAGTAATTTAAAACAAAACAAAACAAAAACTATTTTCCTGTCCTGATGGTGAGTTCAAGGCCAGCCTGGTCTACATAGTGAGTTACAGGACAGCCAGGACTACATAGACACTGTCTTGGGAAAAACAACCAAACAAACAAAACACTGATGAGGCTGGTAAGAGGGCTCAGCTGAGGAAATGTCACCGAGTCTAAAGAGCTTAGATCAATCTCTGGGGCTCACATGGTGGAAACAGAACTGACTGTTGCAGGTTGTCTTCTCACCTCACATGTGTACCCACAGACAGACAGACAGACGGACGGACAGACAGACAGACAGACACACACACAGACACACACACAAATAAATAAGTAAATGTAAAAAAACTGATAAAAAAAACACACACACAGTTATTAAACAAGAAAGTTAACATGCTGGTGAGATTGCTCAGGGGGTAAAGACACTTGCTCTGGACCTGACAACTTTGATTCAATTCCTAGGACCCATATAATGGAAGAAGAGAACTGACTCTCACAAGTTGCCTTTTGACCTCCACATGTGGCACCCATGAACATATGCTCAAACACATAGAATCAATCAATAAATGTAAGATTTAAAAATTAAAAGGGGGGCTGGAGAGATGGCTTAATGGTTAAGAGCACTGGCTGCTCTTCCAAAGGACCTGGGTTCAATTCCCAGCACCCACATGGCAACTCATAGCTGTCTGTGGCTCCAGTTCCAGGGTATCCAATGACCTCGCATGGACACACTGCAGGCAAAGCACCAATGCACATAAAATAAATACATAAATCTTTTTTAAAATTAAAAAAAACCTTGACTTCCTCTTGATAAGATTGAGAGTCCATCACTCTTAAGCAAGCTTGACTTTCTTCCCCATAAGTTCCTAGCTAGAGTAACTAAAGCTCATTCCCAAAGACTCCACATGAGGAGGAGGCTACCTCACAACACACAGCTCATAGGCTTAAGAAATTGCAGAAGGGCCTGTTAGATGGTTCAGTGAGTGAAGGTGTTTGCTGCCAAGCCTGATGACCTGAGTTTGATCCCTAGGACCTATGTGGTGGAAGAGGAGAACTGACTCCTACAGGTTGTTCTCCGACCTCCACATGTGCTCCACACAGATAGATGTAATTTGAGAAAATAAATTTTAAAAACTGTACAGTTTTAAAAAGCAAGGAAACTAAAATGATGAATTCCCATCAGGGAATAACTTTAAGAGGTGGAAATTCTGGAGTTAAAAAGTACAGTGACCAAAGTTAAACTCAACAGGTTTGACTGAGTTGGTAGAAAGAAATGGTCAACAAACCTGGAGGTGAATGAATAAAGAACCTGAAGAGGGAAAAGAATGGGGAAGGGTGGACACCACTAAACACTGAAATCACATGCAATGGATGCACCAGGCAGAGAAGAGCAGGGAATGGAAACACATTTAAAGAGAAAATGGTAGAAGGTCCCCTAGATTTGGTGAGAAACAATATGCACATCCAAGAAGCACAGTGATTCTAAATAGGACAAACACAGAGGCAAAGGTTCAGATTTCAAAAGCAAAATGAGAAAAACAAAACCACCTCACCCTACGCAAGGGAACTTCAGTAAAACTTACAGTTGACTTCTCGTGAAACTGGTGGTCAGAAGGTAGGGGCACATATGCTGAAAATAAATGTCAAACAAGTCTTATGCCAGAAAGTTAACCTTAAAAAGTAAAATGAGCCGGGCGGTGGTGGCGCACGCCTTTAATCCCAGCACTCGGGAGGCAGAGCCAGGCGGATCTCTGTGAGTTCGAGGCCAGCCTGGACTACCAAGTGAGTTCCAGGAAAGGCGCAAAGCTACACAGAGAAACCCTGTCTCGAAAAACCAAAAAAAAAAAAAAAAAAAAAAAAAAAAAAAAAGTAAAATGAGCCGGGCAGTGGTGGTGCAAGCCTTTAATTCCAGCACTTGGGAGGCAGAGGCAGGTGGATCTCTGTGAGTTGGAGGCCAGCCTGGTCTACAAAGCAAGATCCAGGACAGGTACCAAAACTACACAGAGAAACCCTGTCTCAAAAAAACCAAAAAAAAAAAAAAAAAAGTAAGATGAAAAAGATTCCCAGATTTCAAGAAAAATTGAGAAAAATCTGTTGCTACCAATCTTGGCTTCTGAGAAATATTACAGGGGGGATATTCTTCACCCTTGGGAGAAAGACTGAGACATCCTACAGCCCAGATGGAATCTGAACATGATGGAGTGAGGGAAGCCAAGCATAAGGAACCACATACTGTGACTCCATGTGTTTGAAACCTTTCAAGCAGCCAACACTACAGAGAAAGAAAGTGGATGAGCTCAGCTCAAACCTGGTCAAGAGGATGGGAAAGGAGTGGTGGCAGAGAATGGAGTTTCTTTCTTAGGTGAGAAAAATGCCTAAAAAGCAAGTATACGATGATGGTCCTATATCATTACTAAGAACCACTGAGCCATTATGCAGTTTAAAATGATAAGTTGTGGGGCTGCAGCGATGGCTCAGTAGTTAGGAGCATAGATTGCTCTTGCAGAGGGCCTGAGTTCAGTTCCCAGCACTCACATAAAGTAGCTCACACCCACCTGTAACTTTAGCCCCAGGGGGTCCAAAACTCCTATCTAAACTATACAGGCACCTCCCCTCACATGTGCATATAATACCCTGAAACACACACACACACACACACACACACACACACACACACACACACACATCCACATAATTAAAAAAATTAAGCTAGGCATGGTAGTGCATACTTTTGATCCCAGCTCTCAGGAGGCAGGGGCAGGCAGGTCTCTTCAAAGGTAAGGCCAGCCTGCTCTACACAGTGAGCTCCATGCTAGCCAAGACTACACAATGAGACTTTTTTCTCAAAACAAACAATGATAATTGTAGAATATGAGAATTGTGTGCCTTAAAGCTACGATACCTTTAAAAAGGGATTGTAAAGAGTGCTCAGGCAGTGGTGTGGCTCCACACTCTTAAAGTGAAGTGCTGGCAGAGATGATTACTCAGGTAATTATAAAAGGCAGTGTAATCATTGCAGTTTATCTTCTTTTTCTAATTAATTTAACGTTCAGCCACATAAGGCAATGTATATTATGGGGCTATAACATTTAGAAATATATGTTACAGTAACAGTACAAAGGAGCACAACTGTGCTTCTGTGGAGACGGTCCAGTCAGTGAGAAGACCTCAGCTCAATTCCCAGAACACCTATAGAAAAACAACAGAAAACGAAACAAAACAAAACAAAACAAAAAGCCCTGTGTGTCATGGTGCATATTTGCAACCCCAATGGTGGAGAGGCAAATAGAGTCCCTGGGCCCACTGGCCACCCAGCCTACTCCTGGATGAGCTCTCGGCCGGTGAAAGATCCTTTCTCAAAAGAAAGAGCCATGACAGTCAGGGGTGTTGTCTAGCCTCCACACACATGTGCACCTGTATACACATTAGAGTGCATACACACATACAAAAGAAGAATAGCCCCTGATGGTAACGGGCTCACAGGAGTTACAGAAAAGACATGGGGTGGCAACGAGGGGTAAAGCAAACGCTGCAGGCAGTGCTTGCTTTCTTCTATTCCCTTGGCTTCTTCATGTGACCAGATCTATAATATTGTGTGTAAAGTAGTGAGGACAACAGTGAAGAATGGGGTCTACTGACACATCTGCTTAGGAAACAGCTGAAGCAGGAAAAACCCATCAGATGGCGAGCACAGTGTCTCTGCTCTTCACCATTACTACACGAGCACAAAGCTGAATGGATTCTGCTAAGGAAAGATGTCTGCTGCGCAACACATGGTGACATGTGCCTGCCACTCCACCACTTTGGAGACTCAGGTAGGAGGATGGTGAGTCCCAGGCCAGGCTGGGCCGTATAGAGATCCTATCTCAAAAAAGCAACAAGCAAAGATACGTGAGACACACGCTCACAAAAATGAGACAGTGCAACAAGACCTAAATAAATGGGAAGATGGTCCATCATGGATAGAAAGGACTAAATTATTTAGGATGGTAATACTTCCTAACTTATCTACATATTAAACAGAATAACTATCAAAATCACCACTCATCCTAAAATTCTACAGCAATGCACTGGGCCTGTCACAGCTAAAACAATCCTGGAAGACAGAACAACGTGGGAGAACTCAAATAAATCTATTTAAGAGCTTACTACAAAACTACAGTGGTCAAAACACTGTGGTACTAGCATAAGAATAAGCATGCAGACCAACAGGAAAGAACTAAGGAGCAAACCCATCCACTGTTGGTTAATGGGGGTATGTGTCTGTAAGTGCAAATGTATGCAGATAAGCATGCAAGTGCGTGTGTGTGTGTGTGTGTGTGTGTGTGTGTGTGTGTGTGTGTGTGTAGGCCAGGGGTAAATGTCATGTGTTGTTCCTCAGATAGCCCCCCACCTTGATTTTTGAGACAAGATCTCTCAGTGGCCGAGAGCTCACTAGGCAGGCTGCACTGGCTGCCAGGCAAACCACAGGGATGCACCTGTCTCCCTAGTGCTGGGATTACAAGTGCATGCCACTACACTCAGCGTTTCTTACATAGGCTCTGGGGACTGAGCCCAGTCTTTGTGCTTGTGTAGCAAGCACTTTATCAGCTGAGCCATCTCCCCAGCCTTGGTCACCTGATTTTAATAACGGTGCCTAAAACAATTCAGTGGGAATGATCTTTTCAGCAAAAGACTGGAGCAAGCAGAATCTATGCAAAATAATGAACTTTGATACTTACCTCATACAATATCCAAAAGCTAATTGGAAACTGACTAAAGATGTAAATTTAAAAGGCAAAATTAGGGGCTGGAGAGATGGCTCAGAGGCTAAGAGCACTGGCTGCTCTTCCAGCACCCACATGGCAGCTCACACCTGTTTGTAACTTCAGTTCCAGGGGATCTGACACTCTCACACAAACATACATACAGGCAAAACATCAATGCACATAAAAATAAAAATAAAAAATCACTTTAAAAAGATTTTTTTTAAAAAGAGTCAAAATTAAACTGCTGAGGTGGGGCATTGTGAGACTGAGGCAGGAAGGGTGTAAACTCAAGGCCTGCCTGGGCTACAGAGAAAAGGAGAATGTCCCTTTATGACCCCATGCTAGCCACCTTGTCACATAAAACACCCGGAACACAAACTGCCAAGGGGCTCCCAGCAAGATGCTTGGCACCAGTAGCTGTCAGGACAACACAAATCCAAACACAGCAAGAAGCACCTTTCACCTGACAGGACGGTTTGAAAGAAGCACAGTCTATAAGTGCAGGCAAGGAGCAGTGGTATCAGGACTCCCCTGGATTGTTGGTGGGAATCCAAAAGGGGACAAATACTCTGACACATAGTTTGGCAGTTTAGAAGGTTAAATAGAATTTCCATGTGACCCAGCACTTCATTCTAGATATTTTACACAAAAGGAATTAGCACATTGATTCCCCACAGGAAATTGTTCACAAATGTTCTTACAGCATTATTTACAATAGCCAGAAGGAAAATAATACCCATACCCATCAACTGATGATAAAAGAAAAAAGTGTGGTCTAGCCATCCAGTAGATTATTACTCACCAAGAAAAAGAAAGCTCTAACATATGCTACCACCTGGTAAACCCTGAAAACATCAAACTAAGTAAAATGGGTGAAACATAAAGGGCTGCAAGTGCATGATGTCATTTATATGAAATACCTAGCATAGGCAAGTCTGTAGGGACAGGAAGTAGATGAGGGGCTTCCTGAGGCTAGAAGGTGCATAGGACTGTAGGGATGACAGCTGGGAGGGTGGTAGAGCTGCCAGGAGTACAGGTTTCTGGGGTGGTAAAGCCCTCTAAAGAGAGCATGCAGGGAGGTTCAGAGCCCTGAGAGCAGCCTCAAATCACAAGCTTGAAATGGCTGATCTGCATGGCAGGCATGCACAGCATGTGCCCCTGTCTCCATACAGTGGTTATGAAAACAAACAGAGGGATGGTTGAGCTAAATGGCATCTATGTGTTCTTTCTGACTGTTTGAAAAAAAAGTCTAGAAGGTTCTTATCCAAGAATGGTCTTGGTATGTTTCTGAATAGCACTGAGTCCCCCAGAGCAGGCACATACAAGGTTGGAAAGAATGGCTGGACCAGATACCACAAGATGATATCATTATGGGCCATAGGAGATGCAACCTAGCCAGGATCAGAGTCATGCTCTGGCCTCACTCACCAAACACAGGGCTGATGAGATGGGGCCCAGCCCGGGACGTGGAGCAGAGGGTGTTGAAGTACAGGCCAGAGCCCTCCCGGATGGGGCTGAGCATGGGTGGTGGTGTGTAAGGAGAGCACTGGAACAAGCCCTTCAGGAGGTGGTCCACCAGGAACACAGGAGAGCGTAGGCAGCTCTGGTGGCACCCTCCTGGGCCTGGCTCCCCAAGGGCAGAGGGTGCAGGAGGGGCAAACAGGGCCTTGGCTTGGGGCCGCTTCTTCCGCTTTCTGTTCTGGTTGCTCTCCTTGCCGTCTCTCTCTTCCCCATCTTTCTCTTGTCCCTGAAGAGGAGAGGACAGAACCACAGGTGTCACCTGAGGCCACCTGCTGTACAAACTCAGTCTTCAGCTTGTTCAGGGATAGGAAAATGGGGCTGGTCATGGTGACAGAGGGAAGCAGGATACTTATGCCTGCCATGGCCATACCCAGGCCTTAGCATAGAGGCTGAGCAGAGCTTTCTGCTCACAGCCCAGCCCCACCTGAGACAGAGCTGACCAACATACTGAGTATGGTGAAATCCTGAGGCCCAGAGCCTCCTCACACACTCACACAGCAATGTATAGGGGCAGTGCAGTGGTTCAAGTGACAAGCATTCCAAGAGTGAAGGCCAGATACAGGGTGCATTGGTACATGCCTTTAATCTCAGCACACAGGAGGCAAGTGGATCTCTGTGAGTTCAAGGCTAGCCTGGTCTACAAAGCAAGTTCGAGGTAAGCCAAGGTTATATAGAGATCCTGTCTCAACAAAACAAAACAAAACAAAAAATATATATAAAAAGAAAAAAAGAATGGGAGCCAGAGACATAGTCTTATGGTGTGACAAAATAAAAATGTATTTTCACAGATGCCAGTGGCTCTTATGAGCCAACAGCAGCCTAGCACTGACACAGGAACTTCAGTCCAGGGTCCAACAGTAAAGAGATGAGCTTCAGAGACCCATCACAATGACCCCTCACATCTTCCATTGCTCCTTCCTCCCTGCCAGCCTTCCTGCCTGGCCCCTCAGCCTTCCTCGGTTCCTTCTTCCCCCATATCCCAGCCCTGCAAACTCTGGTCAGTGCTATCTGGGGTCAGGGCCTGGGCTGACAAGGTCATTGCTGTTGCCAGCACTCAAATTGTTAGGCTTGACCTGGGCTCAGCTAGTGTTAACTGTGAGTGCAAACCGAGGCTTTAGAGTGAGGACTCTCAGTGCTTCTGGTTTGGGGTTTTCCCAGGACTTCCACAGCAGGTGAGAAACAACACCTGGAGAAGCACCCACCTAGGCCATGCTCTCCAGCTGGGGCTATGCTGACCAAGGACATTTTGGCTTCCGGGGGACCTCATCCCCATCAGGCCTCAGTGCAAAACTGTGCCAAATACCTGAGCATGGAGAGTTGGCAGCTTTAAAAGAAAGAGCAGCCACGGAGAAGAAACTGCTCCTGATGATATAGAAAGGCCGGGAGGCTGGTGCAAGGGCCTGCACAGATGGTCCTGGCACTCATGTCACCCCCATCACCCTGCCAGAATGCTGCCTTTAACCTGGACGGATGGCACTGTCCTTTCATCCATTCCCCAAAGCCTGTCCAACTCTGTACCACAAAAGTCCTTCACCTGCTGCTCCTGCTTCCCCCGAGGTGATGGCCACTGGTCACTGTGGAAACACATGTGGCTGCTCAGCCCTTTCTCGGTATAAAACATCTGGCTGCAATTCTTGCACACAAAAGTGCTCTTTGACTCCATCCAGTCTGTGGGACCCCCATTTGGCTGATGGCTGTGGGTAGAAAAGGCAGGGGGCAAGAGTGGAAGCATGAGACTCTACCACTGACTGCTGCTGCTGCTGTTGTTTTTGCTGTTTGTTTATGTAACCCAATCCACTGACAGCTCTTACTAAACAATGAAAATGGAAGACCATATTCAACTTTCCAAGGACTGAAGTGCCCTCTGCAGGGCTGGAGGCATCTGGCTCCTTCACCCAAGACAGTGCAGAGAAGCCGGAGGACTTGCCAGGGGCAGTGCCCTCCCTGGTGGGGCATGGGCTTCAGAACTTACCAACCGCCTGTCAAGCTCTCTTCCTTCACTGGATGGGGGAGCCTGTAGATGTTTCCACCCTGGAGATGAGAGGATATCTGAGCCAGCAGAGCCCAGACAAGGGAATAAGAAATACGGCATTGGGGAAACCTCCATGACGGTGATTGGGCAATGGTGTCTCAGGCTTGACACCAAAGCAAAGCAGAAAAGTCAACAGACACACACTGGATTCACTGAAACCGAAAGCTTCAACCCCACAAGTATTCACACATAAGATAAAAAGACACCCCACACAAAGGGAGAAAGCACTTGCAAGTTACATGTATGATGCACATATATGTACATATGTACATATATATATACATATACATATATATATACACATATACATATATATCTTTGCAAGTTAGTAAGATAACAGTTCCCAGGTGTACTACAAGCACATGGGAGGATGCAAACTTCAGCAGCGCCAGGGCATGACAGTGGCAACACAAGCAGACACCACTGTATATCCAGAGTGACTATGACAGCAAAGAGCATGGAGAAACCAGGGCACTTATGCACGGCAGAGGTGCTGGAAAACAGTGCTGCTCTCTAGAAAGCAGTCTGGCTACTCTTTAAACACTGAGCAGAGATTCTAGGATCTGGTGATTCCAGTCCTAGGGTCTAGCCAAGAGAAACGAGAACATGCACCCACACAAAAGCTGCACACAGCCTTCCCAGCAGCTCACTCACAAGAGTCAAAGAGTGAAACAGTCCACTGATGCTCAGCCAGAAAAAGAATGGAGTAGGGTAGTAAGATGGCTCAGGGGGTAGAGGCACTTACTGCCAAGTCTGATGATCTGAGTTTGATCTTTGCAACCCACATGGTAGAAGGAGAAAACCAGCTCCTACAAGCTGTCCTCTGACTTCCACATGAGCTCTGTGGCATGCTCATGATCACACACACACACACACACACACACACACACACACACACACACTGTGCCAAGTGTGGCGGCACAGGTCTTTAATCCCAGAACTTGGGAGGCAGAGGCAGACTGATCTCTGTGAGTTCGAGGCCAGTCTGGACTACATAGCAAGTCGCAGGCCAGCTAATGCTACATAGTGATACCCTTTCTCTAAATAAGTAAATGTAAAAATTGTTTTTAATTTCTAAAAAAAATTATGAAGTACTGACAGATGCTGCCACATGGATGGACCTTGATCATGTAATATAAGCAGACAGTGCTAGACACAAACTACCACACAATGTGTGACTCTGACATGAAATTTCCATAGCAGTTAAGCCACAGAGACAGGTCTGTGGGTGCCTAGGGCTGGAAGGATAACGGTACAGGGACCAAAAGACTGGTGTGATAACTAAGGGATGCAGGGTATCTTCTGGTAGTGATGAAATGTTCTGGCCAACAGTAATAGTTGTGCCAGAACCTGCAACTATACCAAAATCTGCTAAAGCACAAAATTTGAAAGGGTTCATTATACAACATTTGGCCAACAAAAATGTAAATGTTTACAAAATAGTAGCTGTGAGATGGTGGGAATGATGCTGCTCTCACAAGAGGAGTGGCTAAGTGCCACTGCATAATACACAAAGGACCCAGGTTCTGTGCATGCGTGTGGAATGCACAGCCATCACATGCAGTTAACAGTTAAGGGAGGAGGCCTGTACCTTGATCTCCTCTCAAGAGTTGAAGGAGGCAAATCCAGGAGGAAGTAGGAGGCAAAGGAAAGCAGGGAAGAGAGCTTAGTGAACAACAGTGATCAGTGCTTTTCCTGGTAAACCACGTCTGAGGACTCACTGCAATGGGGGAAGTGCCTGCACAGTTAACCAATGCTATACATCCAAGGACATACACACATCCCTGCCACAGCATAGGGTGATAGAGGGGTACAAATACCTGGATTCTGTTGAAGATTGTCAGCTTAGACTTCATGTCCCGGGGGGGATCTGCCAGAGGCCCAGCCGATGAGAAGGAGGCCATGGCCACCTGGCTGGGAGAAGCTGCACAGCACACATCCATCTTTACTTTTTCCTTCCGGAAACCAGAGAATCTCTGGGCCCTGGGGTGGCCTGAGAAGAGCCTGTAGCCTCCGCCTCGTGGGCAGGCTGGGCCCTTCTCACCTCTCATGGCCCCCGGAGCCAGGGCATTCTCACCTTGCCCCTGTTTCCCAACCAGCTGGGTTCCAACTGGCTCATCTCCACCTAACTGGGACTGCCGTGAGCCTGCACTGGGGAGAATGTCCCCCAGGTCCAAGGTCCCTTTGGCCAGAGAAGAGCTGTCTGGATTCCGTGATGGGTGCAGAGCTGGCCCTGTGAGGGACGGTGGTGCAGAGGCCACTTTGGGTCCTCCTTTTGTGTCTCGCCTCGGGCCACCAGGAGATGCTTCTCTGGACACTGCAGGCATGGTTTTCCTCCTGCGGACTGGGGATCCCTCTGGCTCTGAGTGTCCAGGGCCTATCTGGAAGGAGTCCACAGCAGGTACTGGTGGCAGGGCCTGTGGTGGCCATGGCCCCTGCAATGGCTTCAGGGCTGACTGCTTGCCTTCCGGCCCTGGTCTCTGGGCTGAGGCTGTAGCCACCTGGGTGTGGGAGAAGATCCGCTGGGACTTGGCAATCATTTGGAGCACCTGCATCTGCTCGTGGCTCACCAGAGACTCCTGTGACTTCATGAACAGCTGCCGGAAGAGGGGTGTAGTATCTGAGGGGAGCCCACCTGGGTTCTGTGTATCTTGGAGCCCAAGCTCTGGGGGGCTCTGCCATGGGAATGGCTCACAGTCGGGTTTGCTCTTCTTGGGAGCCCAGCCATCATCTTCCCCGGCTGTCTGTCGGACATCACTGGAGGTCTCACCAGGTGCCTTCAGGAGTGCAGGAGGAAATGGCAGCAGGTCCTCCTGGCTGGTGCCCAGGTTGGGTGAAGGCTCCACTGTGGTGGGGATGCTGCTGGGCCCAGGGCCCCCCTCAGAGCCCTCCCGGGATGGCACTGTAGGGGGCTTGTGGACCATAAACACATTGCTGCCTTTGTTCTTGGGACAGCCAGGCAGGTTCCGGAGCCACTGGAAGTTGTGGCTGGATGGCTGGGATCCTGAGGGAACAGAGTGGCCGCGGAAGAGAGGCAGGCAGGCAGGAAGGGAGCTGCCCTCCGGCCAGCCCTCCAGGGAGGATGGCCGTTGAAGCCGTGGAGACTCTGACTCCAACTCTGACTCTGGTGGGTCAGGGGCACCATTCTCAGCCACCCTTGACTGGACAGCTGTGAACACTTCAGTGGCAGGTTCCTTCCGTGGGGGATGAGTTTCCTCAGGAACTTCAGAGCCCAGGGTTCCTGGGGCCACTGGGGTGCTGGCTGGTATACAGGATGATGACCCCAGTGAGGTGGGGCAAGCACAGGCCGAGCTCCTTGCCTCAGTGTCAGAAGGACCCACTGCTGGGCCAGGAGAGGGAATCTTCTGGTGGACAATGCTGCTTACAATACAGCGAAGGAGGTCTCGGTTGGGCAAGACAGAGCCAGGGGATCTAGCTTCTGGAGGTCCCAGGGACCTCAGGCCACTGGGTGGAGGCTGGTTGGCCACATCGTGGTTGTGGGTTGGGTCTCCATAGCCCTCCTCTTCTGGTGGGGCCTCCTTCAGGATGCATACTCCATGCTGGACCTCATAGTGGCGGCGCAGGGAGCGGTAGTCACAGTAGCTTTTGCTGCAGCCCTGCTCAATGCACACAAAGGGCTTGGTCTTCTGGTGGGTAAGCATGTGCCCGGTCCTGCAGTGAGACATGGAAGGGAGATCACTAGGCAAGCCCCACACCCCAATACAAGAACTGCTTGGGTCCCTTACTCTGTCTAACCAACTGGAAGAGACTCAATTCCCTGCCCTTACCACTAACAAACCCTGTGGGAAAAAAATAAATCCCACGAGAGCCAGATCAGGGTTCCCCAAAGAGGGATCACAAGGGACAACAGTTCTCTAAAGGTGAACCCTGGGGACCCGGGCATAGCTGGGATGTGTTAAAGCATGCATTCACCCCCCAAACACACACCCCACTTTACTCTTTGAACGTTCAAAAGCATGTGGGGGGCATGTGGCGTGTTTAACCTTTACTTTCATATAGTTCCACCAGCATTCCTGAGAAGCAGAGCTCTGGAGAATACATTTGAGGAGATGCCAATCTGGACCTACCACAGGACTGTCTATGATGACAGTTTCCTGGAATCCCCCCTTACCCCACAACTCCAGCCAAGAAACCAACTTACCAATAGTCAATAAAACCTTCCTAGAGCCAAAAGACTAGTATGTCAATAATCAGTGCAAGTGTAAATGCATGTTAATGTGTATTGTGTCCACTCCTGCCTATGTGGACTGTGACACAGTCAACAATGAGCCCTTACCCTCGGGATCCTGACAGTCTAGCTTTGAACAATCCCAGGGTTATATGGCTAGGACATTTTAATGATTACTGTCTTTCTACAAAGAATGTCCACGGTCTTGTGAGGAAAGGACTCAGAAGACCTAAGTACTAGTCCTAGGAGAAAGCTACCTCCTTTGCCTGAGGTGAGGACGGACCAGAGGGTGAAGAGAAAGCCCCTCCTCCCTCCACCCAGCACCCTAGCTAGGCTCTGTCCTTTCCCACTTTTGAGCCGCACAGCAACAAAAACTTGTTATTCTTAAGGCATTAACTACAAGGGAGCTTGCTCTAAGCTCCTTTTTTTTTTCTTTCTTTTTTTTCTCCTGGTTTTTCGAGACAGAGTTTTTCTGTGTAGCTTTGTCTGTCCTAGAACTTGCTGTGTAGATCATCTCAAACTCACAGAGGTCTGCTTGCCTCTGCCTCCTGAGTGCTGAGACTAAAGGTGTGCGCCGCCACCTCCACCACCACCACCACCACCGCCGTCACCACCACCACTATGTGGTCACTCTAAGCTTTTATACAGGCTTTTTTGGAAAATCCTCAGGGGTTGCAGACCCAGTGTCCTTAGACACCTGCCAGGGACTTGGGACATCTCTTTACCAAGTTAGCCAAACTCATTTGTATTGTTTTTTTTTTCCCTCATGTAATCCAGGTGGACCTCAAACTTGCTATGTATGTAGTTGAGGTTGGTCTTGGACTCTTGCTTCTCCTGCCTCCACCTCCCCAGTGTGCCATCATGCCTGGTAATCAATCACATTTATAAACCACAAGAGTCATGGCTGCAAATAGAGGCAGGGATTTCCTCACTGGTATAAATTTGGGGGCTCAGTAAAGAGACCTGCCCCAGACAGTAGCGGTGTGAAGAGAGCAGAGTCCACACCAGAGGATAGGGAACACACATCTGGGTAGCACAGAGGTGGGAACTCAACAAAGGACAGGATGGGTGGATGAGAGAGAGCATAGGGAAGGACAGGTGCATGGCCCCTGCCCTTCTCCTGACCAGACTCTTGACATACAGGTGGTCCTGGCGCTTGAAGGCCTTGCTGCAGACTTTGCACACGTGTTTCCTCTCCTGGCTGTGTGTCAGGTAGTGCTTGCTCAGGGAACTGGCGCTGCTGAACACCTTCCCGCACAGGCTGCAGTCCAGGAGCGGGTTCTGAGGGGAACTGTGCTGCCGCTTGCCTTTCCTTGTACTCCCAGTGGCCCTGCCTCCTTCATCAGCCTCTTTAGGTACCTTGAGTGCTCCCAGCCCCAGGTCTAAACAAAGGGAGAAAGCACAGATTATGTCAAGCTAGGGTTTGGGAGTCCTAAAGCAATATAGAGCCTTAGCATGGAGCCCTGTCCAGGTTGCCTGAGACCCCTCCATGTCAGCGCTCTGCATGGGCAGAAGACAAGGCACAGCTGGAAGGGAACCAACAGGCCATATCTATAGGACTGCACCTGGTCTTGGTGCAAGATGTGGAGGGCTGGGGATGGCACCAGGCTGAGCTTCTAGGGCAGCAGCATGACCAGCAGAGCTGGAAGCCGACCTGGTACTGATACTCACACAAGGTCTATCTGGAGCTACATTATCCAAACCTGAGAAAATAATGCAACTGTGCACTCACCCATTTAGCTCTGCTCTTGGGTTCTTAGTTTTTTACAAAAATCTACCTGCTTTTTCTAGTAAAATGTTAAAACAACCTTATATCTGACAAGAGAGCTTGGAGGTGAGTGCATTATTTGCTGTGTGTGTGTGTGTGTGTGTGTGTGTGTGTGTGTGTGTGTGTGTGTGTGTGTGTGTGTGATACACTGGGGGTTGAACCAAGGGTCTGACATATGCTAGTGCTTGGCAAGTACTCTACAAGTGAGCTATACACCAGCCCTTTATTATGACCTATGAAACAGCATTCCAAACAAAAATTGTAGAAATACCCAAGAACATGGAAGACTGTTCATATCATACTACTAAATTTAAAAAAAAGAAAGAAGGAAGGAAGGAAGGAAAGGAAGAGAGAAAGGAAGGAAGAAAGAAAGAAGAGAGAAAGCAGCCTATTTGAAAACAGAATTACCCCAGGTGTGAAAACAGAAAAGTAAATTTAAGTGGAAACAGGCAGACTGGGGTTCACTGGCAGAGAGCTGGGCTGGTTTTACCGCCCCCCCATATGTGTCTGAATTTCCCACATTTTCTGTATCTCTTGGTAAAATGACAGCTGACATTTTTATGAATTGTGTCTCCTGAGGAGCAGCTGAAGGAAATAGGGACATTCAGGTGGCAAAGGGAGGTGTCTTCAAGTACTGAAAAGGCCATCATGTGGAGAAGGAGCAGACTGCCTCTGTCCTGATCCAGGGGGCCAGAGAGAGGCTTGGGACAAGACTGAAGGGAGAAAAACCACTGTGGTGAATAACCGAAGAACTCTAAAAGTATAGACAAGAAAACCCAGGCTCCCTAGGATACGGTCCTCAGCCTTGCTGGGTGCTTTATGTGCATATCAGAGCAACCGTAAAACTAGAAAACAAACTCCATCAACACAAAACTGACAAGGACACCGGAGCCAGGCAGTCAGTGGCCAAACAGTCACCTGAGCTTTCTAGAAAGCAGTGTCATGAAGCTGAGAACTGTGAGCAGAATGTCAGCCAACTAATACAAAAGAAAATTCAGTATGTCAAAAGCTGTCCACAAGGGCTGGAGAGAGAGTACTGGCTGATCTTGCAAAGGACCAGAGAGAGTCCAGTTCCCAGGGCCCACGGGAGGCAGTTCACAATTGCTTGTAACTACAGCTCCAGGGGCTCCAATGCCCTGCTCTATCACAGGCACCTACATACATGTGGAATATACACTCGCAGACATTAACACATACACATAAATAAAATATTTTTAAAGCTGTTCATAGAAACACTTTAACAGACTTTTAACAGTCCAACAAGACTGTGATCTGACAATAACAATCAATTCAATCTTACATAGGAATCCAAGTACACCAAACTTTTTTTTTTTTTTTTTTGAGTTTGGGTTTGGGTTTTTGAGACACGGTTTCTCTGTGTAGTCCTAGTTGTCCTGGAACTCATCTGTAGACCAGGCTAGCCTCAAACTCATAGATCCACCCTCCTCTGCCTCCTGAGTGCTAGGATTAAAGGCGTGTGTGACTATCCCCCAGCACATTTTACTTTTCTAATTTACAACATTAATATAGCCAGAAATTGTAGCTCCTGCCAGTAGTCATCAGCATTTGGGAAACTGAGACAGGAGGATTACTCAGTCTGAGGACAGCCTGGGGGACACAGTGAGACCTTGTCTCAAATAAACAAATAAAAATGAATGAAAGTTGGACATGCAGTATATGCCTGTAGTCCCACGTACTCAGGAGGCCAAGGCAGGAAAATTGCTTGAGCCCAGGAAGTCAGGGCCAGCTTGATCAACAGCATAGTGAGACCCATGTCTCAAAAACAAAAAGGAAGAAAATGACATAAACATATTCACATATATGGACCTAAATTTAAGTTTCAAAGGCATGGAGTTGAAATTTAATTTTGAGGGGGCAGTATAACAGTTGAATATTAAGGAAGGCTAAACTAAGTGGAACCCTAAGAATAATTAGGGTTCCTGTGCCCAGCAAAATGCACACATGCCCACCACTAGTGTTTTTCAGTAGTGCCATACCACAGCCCTGGGCCTGGTTAGTGCTGCAGACAGTCTTCCCATATGAACGAACTCTCATGATTCTAAGACTTCCTGCTCTGCCATCATTTCAACACAGACACAGGCCTGACACTGCTTGGACATTTTTTGTGGAGTGGGGCCTTCAGAATCTTTCATGGCCACAAGTTTTTGGAACACTTCCTCAGACACAATCCCAATAGATTACTATCTGTGTATACTGGCATTTATATGTGGACTTCCCTGATTATAAACTGCGATGATAAACTCCCAGGAGCTCTAGCCCAGTCAACCCATTAAAGCAACTTGCCAGGAACCAATAAAGATGGTCAAAACCAAACCAAACCAAACCAAAACCAAACAAAAGAATTCTCTTCTATAGGAGGCCAACAGCAAACCAAACTGAGACTTAGCCAAGCTGTTCAATCATTTCACTAATTCCCCCTTTGTTCTTCCATGGCTGAACAGAAAAGTTCGGAACTGAGTACATTGGAGATGAACTATTACTGACAATATCCAGTATAGTTGAACAGACAGCTAGCTGGGCATGGTGCCACAAACCTATAGTCCTGGCTCCTGGACAGACTGAGGCAAGAGGTCTGCTGGAGCCTCAGTGTTCCAAAAAGACTAATCAGAAACAAATCAAGCACCTAATTCCTGTCTGGTACATTATGGTCTGTGGAAGGCTTTTGCAGCCTTGTCCTTTTTCACGTCTCACTACAGTTGTTTTGGGGCAGGAGGCATGAAAGGATTGGGGTCCCCTTACTTTACAGGGGAGGACATGAGGCCTGGAATAGTTAGACAAGCACAGAACTGAGTGGACAGGATCCTGGCTCATCCTGGAAGAATGAAAAGTGTCTTTGCGATACGGCAATGGCAGGCAAGTCTCCTACAAACCCGATGCTCTGCCCACACACCCACTTCTCGATCTTGTCCCCTAGGGTTAGTGTCCCCTTTCCTTCAGAAGTCAGGAACAATTCCAAAGTAGGCCAAAAGCCTCCTGTAGAAGCAGAGATTTTTGTTTTGTTTTCCTTTCTCTCCTTCCTTCCCTTTAGTTTAGGATGTTTGGTTTTGGAGACAGTGTCTTACTATGTAGCTCTGGCTGGCCTCAGATTTGTAGTGTTTCTCCTGCATTTATCTTCTACATGCTGAGATTATGAGCACGCATCACCATGCCTAGTTAAGGAGGAGAATTTTCCTAGCCAATGCTAGCAGATTCGATCCCTGGCTGGCTGTAGGAACTGTGGGTGCTCTGTTCATGAAGAGCCTCACCTTGTAAGGAGGTCTGGGATTCGGAGTCTGCATATTCTTCCAACAGCTTCACAGAGTCACTGTCCTTCCCTGAGTACAGGGACAGGGTGTCCAGATTGTCCTCCAGCACCTCGCTGGGCATATCCGATGTGGAGAGACTGGGGTCAAGGTCCAAACCACTTAGGCCAGCATAGAGCAGGTCCCGTGTGCTGGGGCCCAAGTCCCTGTTGAGTGTGTCACTGCAGTTGAGCCCTTGACTCTCAGAGAAGGAAGGGAGGTGCCCTTCTGATGGAAGGGCCCCCTCCTCCCCAAGGCTGTATGGCTCCATAACTTTCCACTGCCAGGTCCTGGCCAGAGCCTGTCTCCAGACAAGCAAGGTCGTGTCCAGAGTCAAGAAGGGAAGAGCACTTGCTGGCAGCTAGCTCCTGAAAATGAACAAGGAGAAATCAGAATTAAGAGGTGGTAGGTGTGGTGGGCAGAGTGTAGACTTGGAAATGGAGCAGCCCAAATGGGTTTGTCCTTGGCCATCTCACAGCTGCCCCACCCTGGGTGGGTCCTATGAGCCCCATTTCCTTAGCTGTCCACTGGACAGAAGAATAGCACATGGTGGACTGTAGAGTCCTCTCCTCCAGCTATAAACACAGGAGACCGCAGATAGACTTTAGTGTGTGTCCAGGCAGAAAAGACAAGTAAGGAAACCCCAAGTACCAGCAACAAGAAAACTCAAAGCTAGATGTGAAGGCACAAGTCAGCACACTGGGAAATTCAGGCTTGGGCTTAAGCTTGGGACTGCTTATCCATTTGTCCTGTGTGGCCAGGAGACCCATGAAATACCACCGCCCAAATGAAGACATGCTTTGTGTGTAAAACAGCCTGGACCGGCAAAGTCTAGTAGAAAAAAATGAGAATTAACATAGATTAAATGTTGAAGTTAGGCTGGGAATGTGGCTCAGTTAACAGAATGCTTGCCTAGCACACACAAAGTTCTAGGTTCCACCCCTAGCATCACATAAACCAGGCATGCCCATAATCCCAGCACTTGGGAGATGGAGGCAAGACATCCTTGGCTACATAGACAGTTTGAGGTCAGCCTGTGTTTCATGAGACACTGGCTCAGCCGTCCTCCTGCCCTGCTCCCCAAAAAAGGAATAAGAGAGGTTTCACTAACCACTTTCCAAAAATAAAAAAGGATTACAATGGAGTACTATGAAGACAGTGCATCCACACAGTAGATCAGCTACAAGACACACCCATTACCTTAGTCATCCAACTCAGACACACAAAAATCAATGAGCAAATTCCTCGAAATAGACAAATTACCAAAAGTCACTCAGAAAGAAGAAAGTATGGGGGTTAGGAATTTAGCTCAGTGGTAGACAAGCACAAGGTCCTGGGTTCGGTCCTCAGCTCCAAAAAAAATGAATTAAAAAAAAAAAGAAGAAGAAAGTATGTGAATGATCCTATAGCAAATAAAAAGGTTAGGGAATGTGCAGTGGTGCCCACCTATACTCCTAGCACTCTGGAGGCTGAGTGGGAAGAGCCCTGGAATCCAGGAGTTCAAGACTGGCCTAGGAAACACAAGTGAGTGGAGAAGAAAAGAGAACAGGGAAGATAGGAAGAGAGAGGAGAGAATGGGGAGGGAAGGAAAGGTAAGAAGAGGCAAGGCAGAGAAAATAAAGGAGGAAGAAGGAAAAATATTGAATTACTAGTTCAAATACTTCCCATCTATCCCATCATAGAAACACCAACAAAAATTAACTTTATCAAAACTCTCAGTAACGGCAAAAAGGTTTGCAGTCCCTAGAAGGAAAAGGTAACCCACTGGATGGAGCAGAGCTCTCGGGATACTCTAACTTACCCTAGCCCATCCCATTCCCTGGCTCAGCAGTGTTCTTGTAGAGGCGACTGTGTATCTGGTGTGGGTTCCTGGTGCTGGAAGGAACAGAGTAGAATTTGTTCTTAAAGAACCACAGCCTCCCATCTGACCTGTCCTGGCTCCATGAAAGCCCATAGCAAAGGCCTTCATCTTATTTTGCCCAATTTAGAAACTCCTCAGGGTAGAGATGGGCTGTGAGAGGATGGCTTCTGAAGCTTAGGGCAAAGAACTGACTTGCTAAAGCCAGAAAGAAAGCTGGGGTGACAGTGTATTACAAGAAAAGAACTGAAAGCTTTCATCCTTAGGTTTTTCACAGTGCTGAACACAAACATATCATACCACCCAGCAGCTGCTCTTCGTGGAACTAGTCTGTGTAGCTCAAAGAGCATCACCACACACAAACATGCATACACATGTTCATGACAGTTCTAATCACAGATGTCAAACCTGGAAGCTACAAAGAGTCTTCCGCAGGTGAATGGACAGTGCACTGTGTTGCATCTTGAGAACAGAATGCTGCACATAGTGATGCATGCCTTTAATCTCAGCGCTCAGGAGGCAGAGGCAGGCAGATCTCTATGAATTTGAGGCCTGGTCTAGCTAGCAAGTTCCAAGCCAGCCAGGGTGACATAGTGAGACCCTGTCTCAAAAACAAACAAACAAACAAATGGACAAAAAGCATTTTTGGAGATGGCTCAGCAGTTTAGAACACTGGCTGTTCTTCTAGAGCAGTGGTTCTCAACCTTCCTCATGCTACGACCCTTTAATACAGTTCCTCATGTTGTAGTGACTCCCAACCATAAAATTATTTTGTTGCCACTTCATAACTTTAATTTTGCTACTGTTATAAACTGTAATGTAAATATTTGATATTCAACCCCCAACAGGGTCACAACCCACAGGTTAAGAACTGCTGTTCCAGAGGAACTGAGTTTGATTCTCAGTACCCATATGACAGCTCACAACCATCTACAATGCTAGTTTCAGGGGATCTGATGACCTCTTGTGACCTTCATGGGCACCAGGCATGCCCAGACATATATGCAAGCAATTTACCCATACATGTAAAATAAAACAAATTTGGGGGGGTGCATAATAAGCTATCAAGCCACAAAGGCATGAAAGGACCTGAAATGCATGGATGATAAGAGCAAGCATAAAAAGGTCACATATTGTATGACTCTACCTATGTGGCATTCTGGAAGACAATGTTAAACAATGGTATCTGTCAAGGTTGAGAAAGGACTAACAGGAAAACACGCAGAAAGTATTGGGGTGGGGGTAGAACTATTCTGTGTGGAGAGCTGTAGCAGTAATGGTGGAAACACCACACATTAGTCAGGAACCACAGAATCACACCACGTAAGGATAGGTGCTAGTGTAAACACGGACTTAGTCATGCTCACCCCTGAAGCAGCTCTACATAATTCTGAGACTCTAGAAGGCCATAAACTTACAGTAGGGTGAGCACATGCTCTGAAAAGACCTGGCAAGGCTCCAAGTGTCCCCTCTGTCCAAGCTTTGCTCTGCGTAAGCAGGAAATGAAGGCTAAGGCAGAGCTCCTGTGTAGCAGTACTGAAGGCTGCTTCATACTCTAACAGGATTAGCTCCAAGCACCACTTGTTTTAGTTTGGTTATTGTTGGGTTATTTACTGAAATCTTTGCCACTACCTCACTACTAGAACTAACAGAACTGTTCAAGCATGAGGCCCTGACTTCAACCCTAGCACCCACGTAAAAGGCCAGGTGTGGCAGTGCACACCTGTAATCATAGTGCTGGGTGTGGGGTTGGGAGGATCTGGGGCTTGCTGCTCTGCCAGTCTAACCAAACTGGTAAGCTCCAAGTTCATGAAGACATCCTGCTTTAAAAACTAAGGTGAAGAAGGGCTAGGGATATGGCTTAGTGGATAAAGTGCTCACTGTACAAGCCTAAGAACCCGAGTGTAGATCCTCACAACCCACATAAAAAGCTGGGCTAGTGGCCTGCTTGTAATCCCAGTGCTCAGAGGTAGAGATGGGGAACCGCTGGGGCAACTGCTGACTAGACTAGTCCAATCAGCTAGCTCCAATTCAATGGCTCAAGTGAGAGGGCCCTGCCTCAGCAAATAAAATTCAGAGTGAGTGAGGAAGATAGTTAATGTCCACCTCTGGTCTCCACAGCACATACACATGCACAAGTGACAGCACACATGTGCATTCACACACATACACACATACATCCACAAAATAGATAATACAGGTGATTTAAAAAAAAAAAAAAGGCCGGGCAGTGCCTGTGATCCCAGCCCTCCGGAGGCAGAGGCAGGCAGATCTCTGTGAGTTCGAGGCCAACCTGGGCTACAGAGTGAGTTCCAGGAAAGGCACAAAGCTACACAGAGAAACCCTGTCTTGAAAAACCAAAAAAAAAAAAAAAAAAAAAGGATCAGCAGGAAAGTGTAGCTAGAGTTTTCCTGCCTGGCCCACAGTCAGGACAAATCTCTCTCACCCGCCAGTCCCACAGCAGCTCAGACCCGACCAAGTAAACACAGAGACTTATATTGGTTACAAACTGTATGGCCGTGGCAGGCTTCTTGCTAACTGTTCTTACAGCTTAAATTAATCCATTTCCATTAATCTATACCTTGCCACATGGCTCGTGGCTTACCGGCATCTTCACATGCTGTTTCTCATCATGGTGGCTGGCAGTGTCTCTCCCACCCAGCTTCCTGTTCTCTCAATTCTCCTCTCTGTTAGTCCCGCCTATACTTCCTGCCTGGCCACTGACCAATCAGTGATTTATTCATAGACCAATCAGCAACACATTTGACATACAGACCATCCCACAGCAGGAAAGATACTTGCTACCAAGCCTGAAAACCTGAGTTAAGTCTTCGGAACCCATGTGGTAAAAGGAGAGAATCAGCTCCTACAAACTGTCCTGTGACCTCCATACATGCACACATGCATGCATACACACACACACACACACACACACACACACACACACACACACACACTAAATATTAAAAAAAAATTAAGGTGAAGGGCGATTGAGGAGAATGCCGTATGTCAACCTTGGGCCTCTACATGCACACACACTTGAACACATACACACATGTACACAGCACCATGTGGTTCAGGTGTGTACACAGCACCTTGTGGAAACTAAATGGGAGTTGAGATACCTCCGGATTCTTAGAGCTTTCTGGGTTTCTGAAAAGCAGAGTGAGAGTGCACCTATAAGCAAAAGGGATCTTTCCACCATTGCTGAGCAGCTTCTACAGAGCAGGGCTACCAGCGGTGGAGAAAAGGACCCAAGCCCTTCATCAACCAGTAAAAATGAGCTCATTAGTGAGCTCAATCACTGGGCAAGCTTTAGTGAAACATTTCACTATTAGGATAAGAATTTATACCGTATCAAGCTGGTGAAAGAATACGCTGGCTGTACTTTCAGGAGGGGAGGCTAAAATCTTTTTAGATTATAGATTAGCCTATAGAAAAATGTCCAATATAAATCAAACAGTGAAGAGGAAGATGGAATAGGAATCTCACACAACTTAAGTAAAATAT